AGGCTGGCTTCGAACTCCTGACCTCATGATCTGCCCACCTCGTCTTACTGGTTTTTCTAAATCTGTTGATTTGAGAAAATTTTACATAAGCTTAAAGGGTGGCGCTCCAAATTGGCATGGTGGAGACAGAGACGTTTCACTCTTGTCACTCCCGATTCAGCATCTATGTACTTAGATAAAGCAGTACTATATTATAACATACTTAAATGTTAAATAAGTGCATTGATCTACTTAGGAATCTCAGACTTGAGAGGTAGCATGAGGAGTTGGAAAAGAGGGTCAGGATAGTTGACTAGTAGATCCTCTTTCATTTCCTGTTTGCTAGAGGCTGACTTACTAGAAAAGGCTGAAAAGGATGAATACGTGGGAAGAATTGGTGTTTCCTTGACTGTATTAAAAGATGACTACGATTTTCACTGGAGTGTTTGGTTGTTGAGACAGCCGTGATTTTTTAAAGTAAATTTTCTGGTTCCCCAATTTTGTTTATATTATCTGCATGGATAACATATTGTATCTGAAATGAAACTTTTTTTTTTTCTATTTTGAGGGAAGAAATGGATAATTTTTGCTGAATTTCTTCCTTGTAGACCTAGTTCCATTATCATTTGTTAGTTCACTGTGCTCAAGTTCACTTCTGTGTTTACATTTAAAGCAAATATGTTTCAGAGGCTTGCTTCTTCTGTAACCCACCTTTCTTTGAATGGATTAGTAGCTTAATTCAGCTTGCTAATATTCATGGCATTATCCCCCCTAACTTTGCTGTTTAAATCACTGCTTTAAAAATATCTTGGTTAATGTTAAATATTTTGTGCTGAGAAGTATAATAAACACTGTAGTTAAAGGATTTTAAATTGCATGTACTTATTTTGAGTATTTAACAGAAAAGCATCTAGATTCTATAAGCTTATTGTTCTCAGGATACATTGCATTGAAAACATTTCTGAGTTTTGGTACTGTTGTAGGTAAGTAAGTGTTGCAAACCAATGAAATAAAAATAGCTAAGAGAATTGTTCTTATTCTATAGGATAATTTAGTGACTTGAAAAAACCTTAAGTCTATTCATTTACTACTTAGTTCTACACATTCTTCTCACATAATGGTTTATGGTTTGGAAGGGTGTGAAGTGTACAAGAACAGCCAAAGGATGGCTTTTAGGAAACATTTTGGGATCAGTTGAATCCTCTTGCAATTAAATCAACTGAATGATACTTTAAAAAGTAGAATTTTCATGCATTAGATCATATTAAAGAAAATTTGGGTACTGAAAGTACTCCGAAGTAAATGCTCTTTTCGCATATTGTAATTGTATTTAGGGCCTGGCATGGTGGCTCATGCCTGTAATCCCAGCAGTTTGGGAGGCTGAGGTGGGTGGATCACTTGAGGTCGGGAGTTCGAGACCAGCTTGACCAACATGGAGAAACCCCGTCTACTAAAAATACAAAATTAGCTGGGCCTGGTGGCACACGCCTGTAATCCCAGCTACTCGGGAGGCTGAGGCAGGAGAATCGCTTGAACCTGAGAGGCGGAGGTTGTGGTGAGCTGAGATTGTGCCATTGCACTCCGGCCTGGGCAACAAGAGCGAAACTCCATCTCAAAAAAAAAAAAGGTTTTTTTGTGGAAACCAAAACCACCATTAAAGCATAAATACTTTAAAGTTCTTGTGGAGCAGGATCACCGGGTTGACTCTTAAGGCTGGTATTTGTTTAGCCAAGTGTTTGTTGATCTTCTGAGTATTTCAAAAGTTTTCAGCAGTTGGCCAGACAATGAGAATGGAGGCATTGCTTTAATTTAAAAAGAAGAAGAAAAAGTTGTTCTTTGATGCTGAGAAATGAATCCTAGAATGTAGTTAGTTAATTCTTCAGGAACTTGACCCAGCTGATGAATTTCAGCTCCCCGCGCTCCCTTTCAGCAGCCGGTCTGTATTTTACTCTTTTGCCC